GCAAAATTAGTTGAGTTGAGGGCTGAGGCCCTAGACAGGGAAGATCCCTACATTGGGTGTCAGTCTCCGTCTCCTAAGCCCCCCCACGACAACAATGGGCAAGGATTGGGGGTGTTTTAATGTTTAATATCTTGTGTAGATGGTGGGGGAGCAGAGTGTAGGACTGTATTGGAATAAGTTGAGAGAGAAAACCTCATGTCATGCTTCCTGCCTGGCCTCACGTAGAGCAAGGCCTAGTTTAAATCTGGGACTGTTACCTCACATTCAAACTAGGCAGGGCAGCTCCTATAAAACACATTATGGAGTCTCCACATTGGCACATGTACGTGACTGAGCAGGGCAATTTGAACGGTCATGACCAGGTTGGGCACATAAAGGGCAGCGGCTGTGGAGCAACAATGTTTGGCTGGGTGGCCAAAACGCCAACATTTTTGACATTGACAAGGAAGGGGTTGATATTGTCGGACATGATAAGACAATCCACCAATATAAACCTCATGGGGGAGGTCTTGTCTATGGAAGCTAATCTTGGACAATATTGACATGAGATTTACGTTGGCCTCTAGGAGGAAGAGTGTAACACTCTACTGCCACTGCATCATATTCATCAAGGCAGGAAAGTAGGTCATTTTCACAGTCTGACCAGTCCTTGTTATACATGGGACAAGCATTTGGGGGAATAGAAACAGTTCCAGTACAAGTATTAAAGTTGGGTGAGGTTCGGCAGGAATGGGTTTGCCAGGTCAGTCAGTTAGGGCAGATAGTGCACGAGCTTGAGCTTCAGATGTAACCATGACAAGCCGTGAACGATCAGAGTGTAACCTTGCCTACTTGTTTCTGGAGGCACTGCTGAAAGAGAAGGGTATTCTCAGAATAGGGGGCTGTGGGGGAATCACAAAGAATCGATCCCACTTGGCTGGGCCAAATAGAGTACCCAGAAGGTTTGCAGAGGTAGAGGTAGTAGAAGGACGAGGGCAGAGGAAATGGGGTGGTGTGTGGTGTGTGAAGTGGAGTAGTTCTGGGGGGAGGACAATAAGGATGAAGAGTAGTAATAAGGGAAGAGGGGTTGACATTGAAGAGGGTTGTGTAGTAGTGGATGAAGAGGAGAATGTTGGGATGAGGAAAAGTATTTTCTAGGGTTGAGTAATAACCTGGGTGGGTGTTTCAGAATGGTTAGAGTTGTTCGTAAGCGTCGAAGAGGGGTATTAGCATCAGTGGTCGGAGCCTGTGGTCAAAGGAGGGGCAGGGTCGGAAAACCATCAAAATCAAATTCAGATAGGCTATTTGTGAAGGGGCAAGTCTTAATGCCTATATTAAGGGTAAGGAATCTTCATTATTGGCCATGATGAGCCTGAAAATTAAAGGGGATTAACTGTCCACCCCTCAGTGGCCCACCAGGGGTAAGGGCTAAACAATTACTGAGGAATACCGTGCCATGGCTCCCTGAGGCCGTTTATGACTGGCACAAAGTCAGCCTTTCACCTTTCAACAAGCTCTCACATTTTAGGAATTGGATAAGGAAGCAGTAAGGAAAAAAGGAAAGATGAGTTGTTCATGCAAAATTAGTTGAGTCAGGGGCTGAGGCCCAGGGTAGAGATGATCCCTATATTGGGTCTCAGTGTCCGTCCCCTAAGCCCCCCCACGACAACAACAGGCAAGGAATTAGGGGGCTTTACATTCAAAGTAATTGCTGATATCCACCCTGCTCCTCATGTTCTCCCTATCCCTCATAACCCTGCTCGCTCTCAACACACGCAATCCTCTTCTTTCCCTATATCCTCACTGCTCCCAGCTGGATGCTTGTAGGACTCCCCTATGTCATAACATTGTCCTTCTCTGGATCCTTCTCCTAACGTTCTTCCTGATACTTCACCAACTTCCCTGGTTCCCTTATCTCATTCTTGGGATTCTTCTACTTTTCCCAATTGATTCCTTCATATTGGCTCCATTGCATTGTTCCTCATACAATGTTACTCTTCCTTCCTCAGATGTAGATACTATCCATTTCATCTAATTGCCTTAACACCATTACTCCCTAGCCTTCTTTACCTTTTCACTACATACTATCCAATAGCACTCTACAACTTTAGGATAAAACTTGTTAGGTATCTAATCATTAACTCATTTTTACCTCTTTTTGCTACAATACTTTACAATAGTGCTAGATGTTCTTTGTTGTCTGATACATGTACTTGTTCTAACCATTAACCATCTCAAGTGTGCTCTCATGCAAAAAAGTCCCTTTTAATTGCTGCAGTAGAATCTAATTTTTGTATTTCTATTTGTATATAGTCACTATTGAACAGAGGGTATAGTATTGAAAATCAAACTTTGGAATTATTTAATTCCTTGTTTGCAGGTGGGTAATCTGTTCAGGGAAATTGTTCTTCACAGTCTAATACTGCACAAGCAAACTGATGTATAACTTTATATTTTGTTCTTTTATCTTTTTATGCCGAGACAAAAAAATATTGCATTTATGGAAAAGAACACAAGTAAATATACAGTATATTTATTAACAATAATTATCATAGATATTTGTAGTGGCAAGTTTGATTTGTATTAAGCATAAATGATATATATACAAAAGCATTTCTGTGTAATACCAAATAAGTTTCCATTATTATTGCATATTAGTATATTTGCAAAAAGGGCAGTTATACCTGCTTTCTAGTTTTTAAAGATGCATGTTAACTGCTGAAGACCACATGAATATGTCTAGGTGTCAACTAATGTAACACCTCTTCAGTCCAACCTCAGTACTTAAATAAGCTGCTCGTGTAACTGCTGCATGTTTTATTCTGCAAGCAATTATTTTTTTGTGTGTGTTTTATATCTTTAACAGCTGATTCTTGACCTTCATTACATAGAATCCATAAATCCCAAATGAGATCCAATAATGTCAGCTGTAGTGAGAGTTCATATATTTTAAATATATTATTCCCTAGGATTTGTTAGAAATATGTATAAAAAACAATGTATAAAAAATAAACATACAATAGCACCTACATAACAAAATTTGTCTACACCCCACACAGCATGTCACAAAATTAAAGCTTACATGTCTTTTAGACTTATTTATCCATGGCTACAAAAACAGCAAGAAGCCTTTGTCTTTTTTACTACTATCCCCATTTTTGTAAGCAAAATAAAATTCAGCTTGACCTTTTTATATTTATTACTTACAAAAGAGCTCTATGAAAATAAATTTATTATATTACAACTTCACCATGCAGTCTCATCCTCCTCCAGGCACCCCAAACTTCCTGGTAATATTTTCAGGATTAATTCAACTTCCTTTACCAGTCCTGAAGGGGATCAAACGGGCTGATTTTCTGGGCAATGTCGTTACCAAATTAAGATTTAGAAAGCAAGAACTTCCACAGCTTGCTCATTTTTCAGCCTTTTGATCTTGAGTTAGATTTCATCCATTGATGTAGATAGTAAACACGAATCACTTACATCTGAAAAAAAAAGGAATAAATTAAATCTAACCCACTAACGATGGGTGTCCCATATATGAGACACCTTAAAAAATAAACATTGCCAGGCATCCCGCCAGTGTGATGCTGTATTGGGGCTCACGCTCCGACACAGCAGTGGGCGGGCAGAGTCCGGGGCAGCCTCTCCCACCAATTTTGTAGCTGCCTGGAATCTTTTATTTTCGGCTTCAAAATATACCGGCATTAATGGGTTAAATACATACTTAGCACACAAAAGAAAAGGTCCGTATTGTCAATAATTGTAAATAAAATCACCCATTCAGGAACATCCCTCCAAGAATAAAATGGAGTTCCAAAATGCAATGTAATGCCAAAAAACATGAGGATTAAGTCACCTCATAGCTGTTTAGCCCCAATTTTACATCTCCATGTCCCTACAGAAACAAAGAGCCTTGTTAATGGTGTACTGGCCACGTAGGTCATAAATAACTAGCATCCCTAAGATCCCTTTAATGTAGTTACCTATAGTTTGTAAAAGAAAGGAGAAAGAGAATAAAGAAGAGGAAGAGAGAAGAAAAGACACAAGAAAAAATAACATATAAAAAAGAAAGAATGAGAAAGAAAAAGAAAAAAAAAATAATATCAAGGACTGCAGAATGTCCAGACAGGGTCAATAACAGTCACCTTGATGACTGGGCACAGTTCGCACAACAAAATTATGTTGAACAGGACATGCTGCCAGCAGTAGCGAGTTATGAGACATGAACTTTACACTAATTAATTTAATTATATCTATAAATAGCATCTTCACAAAACTATAATATCCCTAAATGCCTTGGAAATTCCATGAATAGAGAGGGAAGACAAAAATGAAGGACTACATTTCATCTGTCATTTTTATAAGAAACAAGTACTGTATATCATGTCTCTCTAGGTCAATGATGCAACATCATGCATACCATTCTGGCTTCAAAGATTCCTCACAACTGGAAAACTTATAAAGTCACGTATTACAAATCACTTTAAATTCCTGAACCATTCTCTTTGTCAAGAGTATTTTTTGGTTTCACTCCTGATTTTGTTAATTACCAACTTTTATTATGCAACAGACCAGCTTTGAGGCATCTATTAAGTTGCATTAAAAAATCATGCTCTTTTTCCAAATCTGTGTAGACAGTTTTCATAAAAAAAAGAAATTAACTTCTTTTTTTTTATAGTATGAATGATTTCACACAATTTACTGATTTCATAGTTTTCAATCAGTTGAAAAATAGAAAAAAATCTACATCTTAAGAGTAATCAAAAACAAAATTAAATAAATATACATAGATTACTTTACCTCTCATCTTGTAATCTTTATTATAGTTCATATAATTCATCAACTTTCAACATCTTTAGTAATATCCATTAGAATTCTAAAGCAGTTACACTCACCGAGAATCCCAGGGCATTCAGCTGACGTGCGATTCTGGAAGACAGAGAAGACATCTGACAGCCGCCTATTGCTGCCAACACTCATTCTCCCTGTGCTTGCCAATGACTGCCGTCTTGTTGAAATGCTCTCTGTCGAAAGTTTTTTTTGTCATTACATACTTTAATATAATGTCCTGAAACTCTTTTCTGATGGCACTTCACCAAATGACAAATCTCATTTACAAATAATTTCTAAATGTTCATGACACATCCCTGCATATATACAGTTTACGACAAAACTGTCGCTCAGGTGTCAGGTGTTGCAGGAGTGCCAGTGGCTTACCTAAAGTCCCTTAATTCATATCTAATACAACATAAAAACAATGGAGAGAGCGCTAGAGCGAGAGAGAATTCTTTCATAACTTTACCTCTCCTGGCTTCTGCCTTAGCCCCTTCTTCCTTAAGATGGAGGACTTGGCCTCTCCAACAAGAATTGCATCAGTAAGTGTGTCAAAGACAGAATCTTCTGAAAGGTAAGATGATCGCCTGCCGGGTGTCTTGAAAAGCATCTTCTCAATATCTCGGGAATTTGTGAATATTTCTTTCTCCAGTGTTTCTTCAAAGATCTGTGAAAATAAATATTAATGACACTTTGCTGTTTCTAGCTTTACATAATATTCTTTTCCATTGCTATGTGCATCATGAGACCTTTCCCTTTTCTATAAAATAAAACACAATGCCTACCTTACTCTCACAGCAACTTCCAGTAAGTGTGTCTTCATCATCGTCATCATCACCAAGGAGGTCTTGCATTCTTGTCATGTTATTTAAAAAGTCTGTCTTATTGTCAGTAAGAATCTTATCAGCTGTTTCTTTTACTGAGGATCTTTCATTCCAGGTCATTGCATCACTCTGTGGTTCCTTCTTGTCAGTGTTTATCTCTATGTCTTTTGTAAGACTCAACAAATGCTTGCTCTCGCTACCACTGTTAATTTGGTTCTTCTCTGCTTTCAGTTTTTCTACATAAGATAAGAAATTGGACTTAGATCCCACTCTAGGTCTGCTTTCCTTTATCCCTTCTGCTTCTTGGTGGACTTGCTTCATCTTCTGCATTTGTTCTATCAGACTGCAGAGGTTTGTCTTTGCATGGTGTCGAAGCTCCACTATGGCAGCTCCCCGGCTGGTTTCTGTACTATCAGGTATCTTCTGTCTGGTGTCTCTGGATGCCTCCTGCAGCTCCAGTCCCGAGAACTTTGCTAATATCTTTGATCCTTGAGGAATTGCGGCACTTCTCACTGGACTCTGAGTCAACAGAGACATCCTTGTCATGAGATCCTTTGGGACCTCCTGGGCATTCTCCTCTTTTTTGTCTAGAGATAAGGATGCTAGCAGCTGCCTGGAAACATCAGTATTCTTCCCTACAGCTGCTTGTTTCTGGATGGGTGTCTTGAAAGGATCTCTCGTTGGTGTCCCAACTGGTGTACAATTATTAGTGGCTGGCTGTCCACATGGTGTAAAATCAATCAGTTTTATTACTTGTAAATTTGCTGGTTGTGTTACTTCACTGCCTTTTGAAATATCTGGAGTCTCTGTGTAAGAATTTGACAGCTGAGAGGTAATGGAGCGGAAGGGTGTGCCATACTTCTTTGCAGATCCTGGTCTGTTTTGAGGAAGTTTGCTCTCACTTTCTTCCTTGGAGTGCTCATCTTCTCGATAGCATCCAGCAACGTCTCTGAGCTAGAACCTTCAGCACAACCTAAAAAGAATCATTCAGTTAATTTCATTTCCAAAACATCTTAAAGATATATCTAATAACTTTTCCTTCCTGTAAATTAAACATTTGGATATACTTTGCAAACTTACTCATATCATGCCAACCTATCAAACAGACACGACACTGAATGAGTTGAATTGCAACAGTCACTATCATATTGAATGTTGTAACTTACCTCTATTCTGTCCACAAGATACCCAAGTTTGGTGTTATTCAATAAATAAAACTGTTACTCTACCTGAAATTTAACACCTTATTCTATCTACTTCTGCATTTTTTTCTCAAATGTTTCTAATGCAGTTTACCTCTGCTTTTCTTAGTAGTTGTTGTTTTTTCTTTTTTGTGATATAGCATGTACAGTGGTTTTAAGTTCTTCTCATCTATTATACACAGAAGAAACTGATATAAATCCTTGAAGCATCCACACCTATTTGGGTTTTACTTGATCAGATTCGCTTTGGACAGAAATTGCCCACCTCTTCTGCTTTTGAAGAGAAGCATGTCATTCATTCTGTCTAATTTTACCCACATGCACTGGATACATGCACTGTCCACTGGAGTTTTCTTTTGTCACTTTCATTTACACACAAGCTCTTGCTAGCCCATATGATCCAACAGGTGTATCCTATTCCCGAGTTTTCTTTTATATCTTTTACACTAGCATAACTATTGTTACCAAGGGCATAATCATTACTAACATTATTACAATCTTATCAACAATAATAATAGCTGTAAAAATAACATCTGAAAATTCAAAGAACAGCACAGATAGCTGAGATCAGGCAATCAGAATTCCTTCCTGGATGATCAAGCACTTCAAAAAGGATCTATGAGTAAAAAAAAAAAAAAAAAAAAAAAAAAAAAAAACACTATCAAAATCACAGTGGACAGGGCATAAATACATGCCCTCCTAGCACTGATAGGTTAGAAATGCCACACGCTCTCAACACGTACCAGAATCCAGTGCTGAGCCTTCCTTGGAGTTTGCACAACTAAGAGACTCGGCCATTAGCTCTGCAGCACCACTGTCATTGTCATCAGTAGCAACCACCTCTGCCAGCTGAAAAGAAAATATTTATGCATTCTGATCCAACTCTCACCATATATAGATTTCTTTTCTTTTTTTTAATAAGGCACAAGAAAGAAAGAAAAAAAGAGAGGGAGAGAGGGGCACAAGAAAGAGAGGGAAAGAGAGGGAGAGAGGGGCACAAGAAAGAAAGGGATAGAGGGTGAGTGGCACGAGAAAGAAAGAGAGGGAAAGAGGGAGAGAGGGGCACAAGAACGCAAGAGGGAAAGAGAGGGAGAGAGGGCACAAGAATGAAAGAGAGGGAGAGAGGGGCACAAGAAAGAAAGAGAGGGAGAGAGGGGCACAAGAAAGAAAGAGGGAAAGAGAGGGAGAGGGGCACAAGAAAGAAAGAGGGAAAGAGAGGGAGAGGGGCACAAGAAAGAAAGAGGGAAAGAGAGGGATAGGGTACAAGAAAGAAAGAGGGAGAGAGGGGCACAAGAAAGAAAGAGAGGGAGAGAGGGGCACAAGAAAGAAAGAGGGAAAGAGAGGGAGAGAGGGGCACAAGAAAGAAAGAGAGGGAGAGAGGGGCACAAGAAAGAAAGAGAGGGAGAGAGGGGCACAGGAAAGAAAGATGGAAAGAGAGGGAGAGAGGGGCACAAGAAAGAAAGAGAGGGAGCGAGGAGCACAAGAAAAAAAAAAAAGGGAAAAGGAAGGTGAGAGAGGCAAGAAAGAGAGGAAGGCAAGAAAGAAAGAGGAAAAAGGAGAGGCCAGAGAGGCAAGAGACAAAGAGGCAAGAAAGTAAGGGGGAGAGGCAAGAGAGAAAGGGGGCAAGAGAGAGATGTGGTAGTTTGGAAGAGAAACGAAAAAGGGTGACAAAAAGATGTATTCAGTAAACTCAGAGACGGAACCACTCACTCTATTTATCAGTGAACTGTCAAGATCCTCTCCATAATCTGGACCAGCAGCCAATCCATTTCCATTCTTCATATTTGTTTCCTTCAGGTTCATTTCCACTTGGGCAAGGACTTTCTTGGTCCCACGATTGCTACAATCTGAGAGAGCATTGTTCTCCAGTGGTTTCTTGTTCTCTTTGGGAATTTTTGTTCTTTTGGGGATCACTGTTTTCTTCCCTGTTTATATATGAAGGAAGTTATACATCACATTTAGTAGGAGTAGGACAATTGTTAAAAATATCATCAACATTAAACATGTTTGTACAAACCATGATATTTCCATACTATTTTATAACTGTTACATAAACATCTCACCATTTTTCTTATTTAATAAAGCCATTGTGAGATTTTTAAATTTTTCAAAGCCTCTTACCCTCCCTGTTTTTCTGCGGTTGGTACTTTTCCAGCAGGGCCTCCAGCTCCTCCTGCTTCTTCCTCTGGTAGCGCACCCGACAATCCACTGTCAGCATCTCTACTGGCAGCCCTTCCTCTGCCTCGGCAACTTTAGCTTCTTCCCCAGCTACAATCTGGTAACAACACAAAAGGGAAAGTTTTGAAGAAAATGGTATTTCTGTCTGGGAATTAAAGTTCTTTTTTCTTTACTGAAACAACAGAGCAAGAATTCACAGTTGCCACTCACCAAGACCGAGTCATCTTTGTGAGTTTCCGAGGAATAAAGAACACTGGCCTTGGGTGACCTTCTGGCAGCTCGTGTCATAGTATGGGTGGAGAGCATCCTGCTAGGAGTGGTATTAGCCTCCTTCTGGGGCCCTCTTGCATGAGGTTTGTGCACACCTGTAAATTGCATACAAGTATACTGGGTGACAAACAACAAGGAACACTGTCAATTCTTTCAATTTCACCATTATATACATTCCTGACACTCCTACGGTTTTGCAAATCCTTTTTTATCTACAATCTATCTTAGGCAAATTCTTGCTAATGATCCCAACTGCTGATAGTGTCACATGACTAAACCAACAAGTGACATGAAGGCCATTTCCAATACAGGAGGCACTGCCACAGGCCTGACTAACCAGGGGTGAGCATCAGAGGAGCATACTTGGGCCCCCCATTGGCCACCACAGGAGTGTTGACGAGACACAGAGGTGGTGTCGGAGGACAGAGGTTGGGCTTTCCATCTGGAATTGTGATTTAATGAAAACCGGTGAACTAGGAATTCTGATATACATTTAAGGATTCTTTTCAGAAGGTATGTAAGACTATGTAACAAATACAATATATACATAAAATACTGTCCTCATTTAAGCATGTGTGTGTGCGTGCGTGTGTGTGCGTGTGCGTGTGCGTGTGCGTGTGCGTGTGCCTGTGTACATATGTTGTGGTCAATTCCAAGAGGAAAACTGTCACATTATCACTGAATTCAAATACTTTAATCACAATATGAGAA